AAGTCAAAGTCTAAGATGGACAAAAAAAAAAAAGGACAAATCCATTTATTCAACAGTTATATTGTGGAGAGCCATGAAAAGCCAGATGCTGTTTGAGGCACTTTGGCTACAGCTGTAAACAAAACACAGAGAAACACCTGCCCTTGTGAAGCTTCTGCCCTGGTGGGGAAGCATCAGTGAACCAGAGACATGAACACAGCACATGGCACACATGTCATACGGTGACAGGCACAAGGGCAAGGAGAAGGATGGAAATAGAAGAGAAGGTCTCACTGAGAAGGTAATATTAAAAAAGGGGGGGGTGAGGTAAGGTCATAAAGGGGAAGAACATTTAGGCAAAGGTACTGCAAGTGCAAATATCCTGAGGTTAGGGTGTGCCTGAGGCAAGAGAGTAGAGCAAAGGGGAGAGTAGCAAGTGATGAGATCAGAGGGAAAGCAAAGGCCCATCATACAGAACTCTGAAGGCCACTCCAAGGAATCTGGCTTTTATTTGTAGCAACATGGATGGGCCTGGAGGTCATCATTCTAAGTGAAGTAAGCCAGAAAGAGAAAGAAAATACCATATGATATCACTCATATGTGGAATCTAAGATAAAAGAAAAAAGAGGACACTAATGAACTCATCTACAAAACAGAAACAGACTCACAGACAGTAAACAATCTTATGGTTACTGGGGGAAAGGGGGTGGGGAGGGATAAATTTGGGAGTTTGAGATTTACAAATGATAATCACTAGTTATAAAATATAAAAATAGATTAAAAAACAAATTTCTTCTGTATAGCACAGGGAACTATATTCAGTATCTTATAACATTTAATGAAAAAGGATATGAAAACAAATAAATGTACGTTTATGTATGACTGGGACATTATGCTGTACACCAGAAATTGGCACACTGTAACTGACTATACTTCAGTTAGAAGAAAAACAATGCCTTATTTTATGTGTGTAGTTATTGTTGCTCACTGTATGTCTCCCTTATATTAAAGTATAATTCTCCAAAGTTTACAAAATACGACTATCAGAGAAATATAAAATATAAGAAGAAAACATGCCAAAAAAAAATCTAGCTTTTAATCTAAGTGAAATGGGTAGTCTTTGGTGGATGTTTTGAGAGGGAGATAATCTGATTTTTTTTCTTAAGGAGACTCACTCTAGATGCTGTGATAGAAAGACTTAAAAAAGAAAAAGCGGACTAGTTAGGTGGCTCCTGCAAAAATCCAGGTGAGAGATGACTGCAGTTTAGACAGTGAAAGTGGTGAGACAGGCTTGGGAGTCTGGATAGACTCTGAAGGCAGAGTTCTTAGAGGTGTGCGGTGTGCAAAAGATGCGTCAAGGATGACTCCGAAGGTTTTGGCCTTAACATATATTTCAGGAATGACAGTGACTGTACGTATAATAAGCCTGCCAGTCAAAAGGCTAATTGTAAAAGCATTCAGAAAGCTTACAACTAAAATGATGCAAAGAGTTGAGACAATCTCAAGACAGTGTCCAGGGCTATAATGTCTGACAAAAGCGAAGTCGGCTCGTTTAATCTCCGTCTACTGTCTTTCTCTAGCAGTTTGGCATTTGTGAGCCCAGTCCTCCGGACTGGACGGTCGCTTCTTTGGGGACAGGGATGTCACACCCTCATTGGGACCCGCCCACAACCCAGAACAGTCCCCTGTAGGCAGTGACTACATGTAATGACTGTAAATGTTCTCCATCCCTTTAACGTTATCCCTTCTTCACCACAGATGATAACCGATCTGGGAGGTCGGGGCTGCCCCTCCCACCTGACACCAAGCCGACCGTCGCCTGTGCCAACCTGCCCTCTTCTGAAGGGACACACCAGTGAGGCTTCTCCGCGCGGCGCGGCGCTACCCGCCCCGGCTCGCCCGCCCCGCCGGGCCCCCGGCCCCGGACCGACCCCGCCCGCCCGGCCACGCAACGCACCCGCCGGGATGGTTGGGGTCAAAGCCCCGGGAAGCAGCGCCGCCCCCCAACCCGGGAAGTTTCCAGGG